GTTTATAAATTCTTTAAAAACGAGTGGATAATTCGATTGATACAGATAAGGGTTAAAATGTCAAGTCGCACTTTAAAGCTTGTCTCCAAATAAAACTGCAATGTTAAATGTCAACAGAAAAATAAACATTTCACTCCATGCCTTAAGAAACAAATATATTTGGTTAAATACTAACTGAAATTAAAATATATTTGTATTTATAAGTTTAGATAATAAAAGGAAAACTTTAGAAAGCCTAGTTGTGCTATCTCGGGACAATAGGGGTTGTTGCCTTAGAATATAGTTTTAACTGTGTCTATAAAATTTAGTTCACCTAATTGCTTTGTAAAACCACGTTTCGAGCACGCCGTTCAAGGTGAACGCACAGTGCATGACCCAACTATCTGCGTCCTTTACTTAATTCAGCGGTACATAAACTACTCTTTGAATAAGGTTTCCATGTCTTTGGGCGTGATAAATGAATGTTAAGATGAATCAACTTGAGACGTGTTCAGATCATGGCAACCAGTGCTACGAGTATATGCTGATACAGAGGGAGCGTATATATTTAACACCAACCCTTGCTTATGTAACGCGGCTGTCGATGTAGGTCGTCGCCACCAGGTCAGTTATGTAACTTCAAAACAACACGTGCATACCATTTCACGTGATGCCTACTAAGAACCTTATTGCATGGCAATTGAGTATATGGTGCAGTGTTATCCTTTGCTTAAGAGTTGTGATGATCATTAAATGAAGTATAAATCATTAGTATATGTATCCACATACCGCGTGGCCTATACACGTGACCAGGTAGAGTTGACGAACGGCTGGTCTGCGAATACGGGACACGCTTACTCTCGTTACTGCCGGTAGTTATCACATTTAAGTAAATTCTTCAAGGTCACATGCAACCCAAAAATCAAGCATAATTAAAACACAATTATCACTTATTCATGACATATAATATACATTGCTGATTATGAAAATACATATAAACAAAATTATAAACGTACAATCGCAAATCAAAAGTGCAATATTGTGTACTTGGGTTTACTTCCCTCGAAACGAAGCACCCGGGATACCGAACCCAGTCAGAGCGGGGTTGTGTGCGCTCAAGTGTAACGGCTGGTTCATTTACCGATGCCCTCACGGCTCATTGTTAGTGTGTATATAGAGATATGGAACACGTTTTTATGGATAACAACTTCTTTATTTCGTGAGTGCGACGTTTCGATACAGATTCTTGTATCGTTGTCAAACAAGAGTGATACATGAAGTGGAGGAGCTGCATATATATACTGTATATAACAATGAAACAACATACATTGTAATTAACAAGGGAAACAACATGATTGCCATAATTGGTTAAGCAGTAAGCTGATGAAGCCAGTGAGTACACAAAGGATAGTGAATGGAAGCCAGAGACCAACTCCAGACCTCCGTGTACAGAAAACCTACCCATACGGATCAAGACACGGTACAGTGACTGAAGAAATCATTGAGTGAGTGAGTTTAGTTTTACGCCGCACTCAGCAATATAGTTATATGGCGGCTGTCTGTAAATAATCGGGTCTGGACCAGGCAATCCACAGATCAACAGCATGAACATCAATCTAGGCAATTGGGATACGATGACATGTGTCAACCAAGTCAGCGAGCCTGACCACCCGATCCCGTTAGTTGCCTCTTAAGACAAGCATGGGTTGCTGAAGATCAATTCGAACCCGGATCTTCACGGGTCGAAGAAATCATTGAAGTATGGACAGAAACAATAACTATACACTGACTAAACAATCTGAAGCAATGACTGAGTCGATCACAATGCAATGAGTTACACAATGACTAAAGTGATCACAAGTCAATCAATGAAGCAATGATGGAACCGATGTCAAGTCAATGAAGTGACCCCAATGACTGGACAAATCGTAAAAAATAGTGACTGTGGGTGGACTTGACTTCATCAATAGCTGAATATAGACTGAATCGATCCCAAAGGAATGACTGAAGCTAGGTGCAATCAATGATTGAAACAATGACTGGGGAAGGACTGAAGCAATAACTGAATCGATGACATAGGAATGACTGATTCGATGACAAAACAATGACTGAATCAATTACAAGGAATGACTGAATCAATGACAAAGCAATTACTGAAGCTGGGTGCAATCAATGATTGAAACAATGACTGGAGAAGGACTGAAGCAATAACTGAATCGACGACCAGGAATGACTGAATCAATGACAAGGAATGACTGAATCGATAACAAAGCAATGACTGAATCGATGACAAGGCAATGACTGAATCAAAGACAAGGAATGACTGAATCGATAACAAAGCAATGACTGAATCGATGACAAGGACTGAATGACTGAATCGATGACTGAATCGATGACAAGGAATGACTGAATCAATGACAAGGAATGACTGAATCGATAACAAAGCAATGACTGAATCGATGACAAGGCAATGACTGAATCAAAGACAAGGAATGACTGAATCGATAACAAAGCAATGACTGAATCGATGACAAGGCAATGACTGAATCAAAGACAAGGAATGACTGAATCGATAACAAAGCAATGACTGAATCGATGACAAGGCAATGACTGAGTCGATGACAAAACACCTCTTACCAAAAGAAATGTAACCGATAACAAAGCAATGACTGAATCGACAGTAAAGCATGACCGAAGCAATATCAAAGCCATGCCAGAATATGGACCGTAGCAGGAACCGAAGCAAAGACTGGAGCAACTGCCGTAACAACGACTGGAGCAATGGCAGATAAGGATGATTTCCATTTAAAAGCAGTTTAAGGCTGGGTATCTCTTAGTCAGTAACATCTAAATTCGAATGGAAACTCTCGCCCTCGCGTGACCTTAAATATCACTATAAAAATATATATCTGTCATCCTGGTGACAATAAGTGAGATGCAGAAATAAAAATCTATTACCTCTTATGGACGCGTGGACACGACAGCGGCACAATATAGAAAACAATTCAAACCGGTAATTACAAAAGGTATATGCGTCTATGTTCAATTTAAGGCTGGGTTGGGCGAGCTAGTGTCTCTTAGTCAATAACATTTAAATTCAAACACGAAAACACTCGCCAAGACTGCATGTTCTAAAATTACACTGTAAAGTATATACTACCCATCAAAAGTTTAGACTCATTTAAAACACTCATTATATGTTATGTATATATATATGGTCACATCGAAGATTAATTTCTCCACTAACTGGGGGGGAACCAACTCCAAACTTTATGCAGATGAATTGCACGTGGATCATGCATCAAATTGCTAAAAAGCATGTGCAAATATCGTGCATGTGAACAGCTGCGTTTTGGTGTAAAGTTTTGTTAAGAATTCGCCAATTTTCACTGATTTTTATCATTTATTAATCTCATGACAATAATCTTTACAGTATGGAATATTTAGCAAAATTAAGTTTAGAACAGTTGCCCGAAGTAAGTGGCTATATTTACTCTAGTGAGTCTAAACTTTTGATGGGAAGTATATATACAACACCCTGTATATATTTAAGATCCTGGCGACAATAAGTGTGATGAAGAAATAGAAATCTACCATTTCTTATAGACGTGTGAACAACGGCACAATATAAAAAGAATTCGAAGAGGTAAATAGAAAAGTTCAATGCGTGTATGTTCAAAAGCTGCTTTCGCACTTTCACACCGAGAATGAGAAAGAATTGACGCAGATGTCTTCAGCTGCAGTGATCTGCACCACGACCTTAAGTACCTGCATATAGTTAAACTGTAGGCATATCTCGCTACCATGTTATATGTAATACTGAATTGAATTGTAACATTGAATTGTACTGAGTGAGTGAGTGTAGTTTTACGCCGCTGTTAGCAATATTGTAGCATCATTATATCCAGATACACGAGAACGGGCTAAACACTCTGTACCCATATGAGGAATCGAACCCGGGACGCCAGTGCGGACCAGACAATCAAGTCTGGACCAGACTGATTGACTGACTGAGTTTGGTTTTACGCCGCTTTTAGCAATATTCCAGCAACATCACGGCGGAGGACACCAGAAATGGGCTTCACACATTGTGTCCATGTGGGGATTCGACCCATGTGGGGAGTCTTCGGCGTGACGAACCAACGCTTTAACCATTAGGCTACCCCAGCGCCCACCAGACAATCCAGTGGTCGACAGTATGAGTATCGACAAGCATGGGTTGCTGAAGACCAATTCTAACCCGGCTTTTCACTTGTCAGTCTAACGTTCGCGCGTCTTCCAAAAGTTACAGCTATGTAGCTTAATTCTGATGTACCTCTTGGAATAACAAATTGCAACAATTTCACGCAATATCCACATGTCTAAATCCTAACAACATAAACGCCACTGCCAGACATTGACCAGTCTCGATCATCCTCCAATACAAACACACTGGTCGTGATGGTGAATGTTATATCATTGTATCGCTGACGGTGACACCAGGTGTTCGCGGGTACTCAAGTCCTGCTTGGACACGTGGGGAACACGTGGGCACCAACCCTCGTATATCTGTTACGAATGCTTGATTCACGAGTCAGTTGTCACAACACAGCAAATTTTATCGTATATATGAAGTTGACAGCTTAACATTCCTGGATGAGTATTTAAAACCTACATGAATATTTCATTGTACATGCGTGAATCATGCTGTAATGACGTGCAGGTAAAGTTAGCTGAAACGGAGCTTAATGTTGGGTTCACGTGTTTGTGTGCGTGAGTGTGTTTTGTCTCATCGATCGATGCGTGCGTGCGTGTGTACGTGCGTGTGTGCGTATCATTCCTTGTATTAGTCCGGACTTATGCCGGTTTTATAGTGCCTGCTCACTGAGACACCATTGCACTTTTCAGCATGGCAGTGTTAGCCCTTCAGAATTGGCTTATATATTTTTGACAATTTTAAGCAATTTTCAGGGATGTACTCCCGGTGGAGATCACGGGCACTCTGCTGATCTGCGCCAAGAGGTCAGGAGGTACCAAACCAAGGGTACCGGGAACAATGAGGAGCCTGACGACAGTGTACTTGGGATGCAAGCGAGACCTTTCAAAGGCGAGGTCCGCATATTTAGCATGTTTTTCCTGAATCTTGCCAGTCGCGTTGCTGTCAAAAGGGACAGAAAATTCAATGATGTAAATACATTCATTGGCTTTATCAAAAAGGACAAGATCAGGTTTGTTGGCTGGAATTCTTCTTCGGCTGCATATGGGCCTATGTCAAAGAGGTTTAATATCATTATTTTCCATGACGCCCTGGCCATGTTCAGGGTCGTACCATGGATGGACCTCGGAGTCATAGCCACAAGCATGGCGGAGACGGTAGTAGAAACAACGAGCCATGCCATCATGTCGTTCAAGATATGCAGTTTAGCCCGAGGAAGGGCATCCACTGACAAGGTGTTGGACAGTCTCTGTAAATTCATTGCAAAGTCGACATTTCATATTGATATTTTGTTTAAGAATCACATTTTGGCGATTTTGAGTGGAGCATGACTGGTCCTGGGCAGCATAAAGCAAGCCCTCAGTTTCACATTTAAAGACCAGCCGACTTAAGCCCAGTCTAAGTAAGCTTAGGCTCAGTATTATTCGTTACACTGCTATACTGAATAATACTGAACCTACCTGTACTTAGACTGACTTCATCCAGGCGAAGGAGTCGGTTGGATTACTGCTCTGTTCCACATACTGCATGTACACACAATGCAATGGCTTCTCAGAATTTGTATCCTTAATGACTGACTCTGGGAGGACTTGTTGAATAACTTCACCTAGTTTACTCCCATCACTACCGTCCAGCAGTACATTGCAATAAAACAAAATCAACCGCAAATTTCAGATTCTGTCCAACAACCTTGGCACGCTTAAAATAGCTGTGAAATTCCTTGCTTTCATCTTGAGTCTTGACATGCATTCCCAGAGGACAATCCGATTAATATATATGTGCAAAAGTACACACTAAAATTCCATCATGAAGAGCCTCCTCGTTAATCAAACCCCGACCTCCAGAATTGATTGGCATATATAACCGATTAAGAGAGGAGCGAGGGTGGTGGGCTCTGTTAAAACAATACAAATATACTATTTTTCTTTCAAAAACGTCATCTTTGTGTGATTGTAAACAGCTTCAGCGCCAAAACGCGGCAATTTTAACTTTTTCCCTTGTTTTAGAAGCGTTTGAAGAAATATTCGCCAAAACGTCACCAAGAAAACATGCAAAGCAAAATGCACGTGCAAGTAAGCGGAAAAGCATGCGGTATCGATCACTATAAAAGGCAAACGTTGTGTTGAATTTTGTCATTCATTTTTGCCTGGAAAGAGGAAATCATCATGCCACGACTGAGTGCCGCCAATCGAAACATCGCCATAGGCCGCCTTGAAACTGGGGAGTCCCGACATTTCAACGTTCATCAGAACACCATATCTCTCCTTTGGGATCGTTTCCTGCAGACCAATTCCGCCCAACATCGCCCGAAAAGCGGCTGTCCAAGAGTTACCATCCAAGCCGAGGACCGCTACATCTGGGCTGCTCACTTGCGTCACCGTCTTGCCACAGCCGCCGAGACTGCACAACGCATCCCTGGTTTGAGAAGAATATCCTACCAAACTGTCAGGAATTGATTGCGTGAAGTGGGGATTCGACCAAGAAGGCCAGTTGTCGCCCCTGTTTTGAGAGACTTCCATCGGCGCAATCGCTTGCGGTGGTGTCGTAGAGTCCGGAACTTAGAAACTGGAGGCGAGTCTGGCTCAGTGATGAATCACGATTTCTTCTTCACCGGCGAGATGGAAGACAGCGTGTTTACCGTCGGAGAAATGAACGTTTTGCCCCTAATTGCATTCGACAGGTCGACAGATTCGGTGGAGACAGTGTCATGGTGTGGGGTGCGATATCCAGCACACAAAGATCTGAATTAGTGGTGGTTCAGGGGAATTGGACAGCAAATCGGTACATCAACGACGTCCTTGCACGTCACATGCTTCCGATTATGGACCGACAGAGGGAGTTGTTCCAGCATGACAACGCTACTTCACATACAGCACGCGTCACGGTCCGCTACCTTGCCAATTCTAACGTCAATGTCTTGCCATGGCCTTCCCGATCACCAGATCTAAACCCGATAGAACACCTATGGGATGAACTCGATCGACGTGTACGTCAACGTCAAAACACGCATCAGACACTTCCTGGCCATCAACTGGCCATCCTTCCTACAAGACTGACTTCGTCGACTTATCCAGTCTGTGCCGAGACGGTGCCGAGCAGTAATTGCTGCCAATGGTGGCCATACAAAGTACTGACTTTGACGCCATCTTGTGGACTCAAGTAAACAGAAACACAACGATAAAGGCTGCTGTGTTGGCGAACTCTTTGTCTGTAGACGTGTGAATTTTCACCTTTTTACCACTGAAATTACATGAACTAATTGCTCTTGAACTAAAGCAAAAATTCTTCTAAAAATGGCTTATGCGTTTCTTGTTCATGATTGTTACTAAAAGGTTGGACAAGCCCTCAATACATTATACAGCTTTGCAACTTTTTCGGACTTACACGTAAAAAATTGGCTTGCTACGCGTCTGGATACTCGGAGCAGATGAATGAATTGCATTTAATAAATAGAAGTGAGTGGGTATGGTTCACGCAGCCTTTAGCAATATTCCATCAATAGAACGATGGGGACACGAGAAATGGGCTTCACACATTTTACCCATGAGGGGAATCGAACCGGATCTTTTGCTTGGAGAGCGAACGCTTAAAACATTCCAGGCTACCCCACCGCCCAATTTAATAAAAAAGATTTCTTTTACAGTGACCTTATGGGATTGCATTATGACAGAGTAAATGACTGAGGTGAGTGAGTGAGTGAGTGAGTGAGGTGAGTGGAGGAGTGAGTGAGTGGAGTGAGTGAGTGAGTGAGTGAGTGAGTGGTGAGTATACTGTATAGTACAACATCGGAGCAGTCTGTATAGTACAAATGATCCAGTCTGGACCAAATAAATCAGTCACTAAATATACGCATGAATATAGAACATATACAACTAAGAATGTGAATAGAAAACACGTACAAAGAACCTGGGTATACTCAACACGTGAATATATACTGTGCATGCAAAAAAGGAGAACACATATAGAAAACCTGGGGATGGTGAGGAGATGAATACGTAACTAATACATAGACATGAGAGTGAGTGAGTGAGTGAGTGGGTGGATGGGTGTTTGAGTGTGTGAGTGAGTGATTGAGTTTAGTTTTACGCCGCACTCAGCAATATTCCAGCTTTATGGCGGCGGTCTGTAAATAATGGAGCCTGGACCACACAATCCAGTGATCAACAGCATGAGCATCGATCTGCGCAATTGGGAACCGATGACATGTGTCAACCAAGGCAGTGAGCCTGACCACCCGATACCGTTAGTCGCCTCTTACGAAAGAATGGGTTACTGAACTTCACGGGTCATAGACATGAGAATACAAAATACTGAGACACAACACGTGAATAAAGAACACATACAAACAAGCACACGATAAACGCGAAACGTATGTTGAGACACGAAAATAAAGAACGCATAAACACAGAAAATGGGGTTATGGATGAACCAGTCGTCTCAGGGCGCCGCAAGCAGATCTGAGTTGCCTCCCTTGCCTCCCAACACCACGACGAGTCCCCCTTCCATATAAGACTAACACGTCCTGATATAACAGGACTACATTTCACAGTTGTTAAACCCACTCTCTCTCTTAGGACACTAAGACACAAATTCAACACAAATACCATCACAGTAATACAAGACCAGTGATAAGATATAGATACCCCGAATGAGCGTAACGATTACTGAAACATACAAGTTGTACCGCCGTCATACAAATAGTCACCTATATTTCACTAAGCCCGCGGCCGCTATTATATAAATGGTTATTTTGATCACGTAAGCATAATGTACTCCAGCCCTAAGGTCGATTATTGTTGAGATAGGCGGCAGTTAGTGTACTCGCGTATGTACCGGATCAGGTTATATGTTTTCTTAGTTCTAGGGCAGATAGGTTATGGAGGTACAGGGGTGAGAAAGTGTAACTGGAGCAAACATGTGCAGTACAGTCTCGGTTTGTCAATAAGATATGTCCAAGTGAGTTGACAATAAAGAGATTACAAGCAGTAAGTTTATTTTCAAACACTTAGTAATAAGATTAATGAAAATTATTCTTCTAATCAGGAAATGCAAGTTAATTAATTAACTAAATACATGGAGAGGCTAGTTGGAGTATAGATGAACATAAATAGAAATTCGAGTGTAGAGTACTTGTTTGCAATATGAGAGATGTTTAGACAATTCCTAACAGACTACGTTCAGGAAGGATCAAGCCAGTGAGGAACTACTGCAAAACATCCCCCACTTCGTCTTTGTTTTTATTTTGTGGTAACACCCCTGTTATGTTTGAAATGAATTGGTCCACATGCCTACTTCGTCTAACGAGCAAAGTCACTCAAGCCTGACTATGCCTGGGTCGTCTTATTGCTAGTGTTTACCTGTTTTAAAATTAGACAAACAGGTTGATACCTAAACGACAGCTGGCGTCTCTGACATAATACTATCCCCAGGCTGTTCAACATTGATCCACACTGAATGAAATATAATCAAGTTGAAAAAAATATTGATAAATTCAGCTACATACTGTGATGTTTACATGTTAGTGTGCAATGTGATGTGGTTGGTTGGTTTGTTGTTTAAAGCAGCACTTACTAATATTCCAGCTATATGGCGGCGGTCTGTCAGTGGTGGAGTCTGGACCTGACAAGCCAGTGATCAACAGCACGACTATCAATCTATCGATGTGATGTGGAGTTAAATTGGCGAGTTGTTTAACTGTTGTCCGTCGTGGCATACTGGTATAAGCTGGTTAATCCTGTTATTGACATTATAGCTTATTCAGGAGAATGGTATAAAATGGGAACACGCCCATGACAGTTACACAGACAGCAGATACTTGTGTCAAGGCGTCCAGGGAGACGTAATTGTTCCTTTAAGCCGACACTCCAAGCTATATAGTTGGAAAACTGTTAAAAAC